GTTCTTTACATGCTTATAAGAACGCTTTGGAATGTACTTTAATCCCTTGTGTACATTAAATAAACCTGCAAACTTAAGGATCTCTCTTACTATTTTACGAAAAACCTACCCTACTCTGAAAGGAAAAAGAAAAAGAAGGAAACCCAGGTTCTAGCCCTTATGGTCCTCATTAATGTCCACGAGATATCACAACGAAGAACAAAACCAGTAGTCCTCCCAGTCTTTCATTTTACCAAACCATACAAATTATAAAAAAAAAAAAATAGCGACAAAATAAAACCAAACTGCTAAACTACGATCTACAAATTCCAACATTTATGCATTAAAAAGTTGTAGAGTTCATTTTACTCTAGCCTTCCCCTCAAAAGCATTTAGATGAAAAAGTCGTGCTAACACGAGACAGGTAAGTCATCATCTCTGGCAGTCTCTGAACTTGTTCCAACTACTGGACTCTTGCTTTCATCCTTTTCATTATTTAAGTCCTTTGTATTTTCATCCGTTGCTCCTTGACTTTTTGATTCATCATTTCTGTCCTGCATTTCAAAATCACCACTTTCTTTGTTATCCATTACATTATTTTCTTTTGCCAAAATTTTATCAGCCGAACACTGTTGTGTCACTCCTTCAGCCTGCAGCTCGTCCTTTTCCTTCACATCATCAAACACACAGTCACTCCCCAATTCATTACCTCTGACACCATCCTTCTCCGCAATAGCCTCGTTTGAAACAGACCCTTCCATAAAAACATTATCTACACCTTCAGCCTCTGATACTCCATCATTGTTCAACTTAGCATTGGCTTCAATACTTCCATCTCTTACACTGTCCATCACAGAGTCAACCATCACCACATTGTTCTCAATTCCCATAACCGGAACATCAGATCCACCCTCACTCTCATTATCAGACCCATTTTCCACCACTTCCTCATTGACATCTTCCACAGCTTGGTTCTGCCTCTCAAGATACATCAACCTCCTTCGCAGGTCGCCCAACTCTCTCTCCATCAGGAAAAGACGCTCCTTCAACGTCAAGTTCTCCTCCTCCAACTGAGCTATATGGGAATCCTGATCATCAACCCTATTCTCTAACACATTATTGTAATCCACTCCGTAATTAGGGTATATCATCTCAAACCGACTCAAATCGTGATCCAGCCTCCTCTCCACCTCCACATGATCCTCCACATCACTCTCACTCGAGCCACCGTCGTCGTCATCCTCGTAATCATGAACATCAGCCTCATTCCCCGGTGATCGAAGCCTAATCAGACCCTTCATTGACCCGTATCCATCAACACCCCACTCCTCCTTCGCCATATCACCCAACACCTCCCTCGAGGGAGACAATATAGGCGTGGGAAGCACTGCGGGGGTCACAGGGCAAGGTGACACAAGAGAAGCTATGCCACCGGACTTCTTCGCACGAATGATAAACGATGTCGTATTCCTAGGGGCGTAGGGAGCAAACCTATTATTAAACTTCTTCTTAGGATAGAACTTACGCGCTTTTAAGCGATTTTGCGATTGCAACTCGTTCAGCGTTGGGGGCTGGTAACCGACGACACCGGTGNCAGCCTCATTCCCCGGTGATCGAAGCCTAATCAGACCCTTCATTGACCCGTATCCATCAACACCCCACTCCTCCTTCGCCATATCACCCAACACCTCCCTCGAGGGAGACAATATAGGCGTGGGAAGCACTGCGGGGGTCACAGGGCAAGGTGACACAAGAGAAGCTATGCCACCGGACTTCTTCGCACGAATGATAAACGATGTCGTATTCCTAGGGGCGTAGGGAGCAAACCTATTATTAAACTTCTTCTTAGGATAGAACTTACGCGCTTTTAAGCGATTTTGCGATTGCAACTCGTTCAGCGTTGGGGGCTGGTAACCGACGACACCGGTGTTCGGAACACTAAGAGTCGAGATTCCACTGGGATTGGGTTTTTCCATTCTCCTAGGGTCATTGCGTTTGTCAGTGACCTTCTTCCCCTTCCAGTTACTCCGATAATTCGGTTTCATAGGGTTCTGGAACTTCATGCTTGGGTCCAGAGGAGGTTGCTGAGACCAAACCTTGTACCCGCGATTCATCATCGGAGGCTGGGACTGGTTCATCATAATCTGTGATGTCTTCATCTGAGGCTGCGCTTGTTGATTCATTCCTTGATTGTGCGAGTGCATCTGAGGCTGCGACTGACCTATTATCTGCACCTGATTCATCATCTGAGGCTGGCTCATCTGGTTCAAATTCATCATCATCTGCGATTGGTCGTTCATCGCAACGAAAGTACGAAACCCTAGGCTTAACGTTGAAATTACAAACGTAACGGTCAGGAACAAAAGTACAATCGCCGATCGCGAAAACAGACAGCGGAAAAAGAGAGACCGAAACCCTAAATTCCTTTTATCTCAAATTCGAAAAGGATAATATTAGGGTTTGATCTTTAAGGGAATCGACCTAAGGCTGAAATCGTATTCCTCTTTCGAGATTTTCACGAATCTGAAAGAAAACCCTGATTCCGAGTTCTTGATTTTCTTTTTCTCGAAAATTCTTCTATTATCGCAGAAAATTTTGCTTCTGTGAGGTGTTTCTTCCAACCGAAGAATATTATATAGTGGGACAGGAGCGTTTCGACGGCTAGATGTTGATTCCAGTAGTGAACGGTTTAGATTATATATTCGTGATGAACACGTGTCACTCGTCTCCGAAAAGGTCGATTCTTGATTTCCCGTTTCAAGGTACCACTGCTAAGGGAATTTCAACCTTGCCCTTTTATGTCATTTTCACCCTCATGCATTATGTGTACTTTCGGTAATATTTAATTTTACAACATTAATTATGTAAAACTATTAATTAATTACATATTTATTGTATTGTTAGTTGTTACTAAATTTCAAAAAATACCTAAAATTAACTATACATGTGTTTTGTTTATCATGGCTTTTAAGCGCTAAAATAATTTATTTATTGGTGTTTAGAAATATTTAATATCATAAAAATTGAAATACTATATCAATACCAAATATTAATAAGAAGATTAAATTAGATGCCTGGTAACTGAAATAAACCAGCCAGTTAATTTTCAGCCACATTTAATGATTAAGGTAAAGTAGAATAAATATTTTATCATTTTTCATTATTTGTTTGTCAAATTCTTAAGTATAATTTCCTCTAAAATAAATTAAGAAAAAAAATCATTATTTTTTAGGTTGATTAAGAAATTTAGTTACTACTATTTAATGTTATTTATCGTATTTAAAAAAACCTTATAAAATTTTTTCCGTTAAAAATGATATAAAAATAGAAGATAATTAATTAACAAATATTTTTGAAACAGTGTCAGTCAGATAAGATCAAAAGTTGTTGAAATTTGTTTTGTATTTGTGTATTTTTTTTTTTCAACTTGTAATTGAACTAGTCCAATGCAAATCTATATTGATCCACTGCAAGTGTTTTTATAGGAAAAATTAGTTGTGTCAAATTTATTTTTCTATTATGACAATTACATTAAATATTAAGATAAAAGAAAAAAGATTTAAGCGGTATTACTAAATCAGTAAAATTGAATTCAATTTCTAAAAAGTAAATAATGATAAAGGTGACGTTTAAAAAAACAATAATATAAAAACAATACATATATATATATAATATATATATTAAAAAAAATAATCCGATTTAATAACTATTATTGTTAATTTTATGTTCATAAAAATATAAAATTACCTATTATCTCCATCCCAATTCTATATTTGTAAGATTTACAGTCATGAATTCATTCATGTGGAAATACATTTATTGGAAAATAAAATTGGTCTCTCAAATCTTTAGATATCAAATTCATACAAAAGAATTACTCAGTGCAGTTAATTTAAATAAAAATCACCATAAATAAATAATACTTTAATATATATTTTATTTAACATTACACTACACAATTTACAATATGGCATAAACCATTTTTAATTGTCTGCTAATTATTTTAAAATATTAAAAAAGAAATTTCAAGAAAATAAAATATATTGATGGTTAAGATTTTAGGAATAGAAAGATGAAAGTTGAGCTAATGATTAAATTAAGTCACACTAAAACTATAACTGTGAGATATATTTGTTAGGAGTAAAATTATATTGAAAATATATGATGTTATGAAAGGAATAGGATTTTTATGTGTCAATTTAATTTATGTATGTATTATAAATTAAATAATTGTTATACATCATGATAAATGGGTTTAAGGAGGTGGTGTGATTAATGTAATGTTTGGAAAAATTTAACTTGGCCTTAAAGATGAGTTAGAAACAAAGGGTTGGAATTAGCATAAAAAGGGAGTGTACTTAGAAAATAAAATGAAAAACACCTTCTTTATGGGAAGTATACTGTTGTGGTATTGTTGTCGTGTTGCGTGCTTCCAGTAGTCTCTGTAAATTAGTAATTTTGATAGAAGAGTGTAAAAAGGTAACGCGTGTGTTTTTACTGGTATATATAAAAATAATTCCTATTTTGATATGTACATTTTTTTTTCAATTTTATCATTTTAAGTAATCATTATTTAAACTATAATTATTGTATTTTTATTTTTATCTTTTAAATTATCTTTAATTTACATTTAAATTATTTTATAAATTAAAATAATTATTTATAATTTTCTATAAAATAATAATTTTAGAATTTAATCAAAATTTGTTAGAATAAAAAGAAAAAGTGGACTTGGATGTGTTTCCATTGGTTAAACATGATGAAAATTAGGTAAAAAGTTTGAAATCTTATCAAAGTGGTATTCTTATTTTGTGTATTAAGTGGTTTTATTCTAAGTAATTTTTTTTAAAATTTATTTAATAAATGCTTTTCAAAAATCATATTTTGATTTTATTATTTTAAACTTCGTATCAAATATAAAGATGATTAGAAATACAATATCAACATAATCCCATGTAATTTCGATTCAGTATTTTACAACAAAACATAAAAACATGGAAGTGTTGTTTTGAGTACTATATTTTGATGAGAAGGAGCTTATTATAATGTTATATATATTTTTTGACTTTAAGTTCCAAGGAACTCCTTTTATTGTTGTTAGAATTCAAAAATCTCTTAATATAATTCCTCACGAATGATTATTTTTCACCATTCACAAAGTGAATGATTCATTTATTTTAATTTTTTATACTGACATGTGATTATTCAACTACTCATTAAATATATAATGAATATTCTGAATAAAAATAAAAATGATTTGTACCTCTTGAGATGAAATAACTTTATTTTTTTTATTTTTTTAATAGCCTGCATGTCAAATTAGTTCTCTTTCAAAAGTGCGTCAATTACGTTTTTATTTAATAAAATTTATATCAATAAAATTTTTTCCGTTAAATCCTTCCAAACGACGTTAATTATTTTTTCTCATTTTTACTTTTTCTACTTTTTCTACTTTTTCTGTGCAACAGCAGCTTTTTTTTTTCTCTTCTACTGTCTTCTTCTACTAAAAACAATGAATAATGAAGTTAAAAATCTAAAAAAATATATACAACGCAAGTTTAAAAAGAAAGTCTAAAGAGATAATTGCTTTTACAAAATTAACCTTCAGTAATAGAAAGCCTGTTGATAGCCTTAATCTTTTGTCATTAAAATATTATATCGTCAGCTTTTTAAAAATCACCACTACTTTTATACCAATTTATAACTTCTCCCATTAAACACAATTAAAAAAATCATATTTAAAATATCGAATAAGCTAAAATTATCCTTTAGATAACAAATTTTCATTAACATATTTTGTAAAGAAAGTGCTCATTGTGTATGAGTTTTATTCTTTTATAGTTTGTACTTGCATGCTTCTTAGATTTTTTTTAAATTAATGTTAAAAAGTGAGTTTAACAAACAAAACTAAAAGAAAAACATAATATTATCATATATTTAATATAAAAAGATATATGTTAATTTTTTCAATATAAAATATATTAAATAAAAATTAAGTAAATGTCAATTTATTATAAAAAAAGTAAAAATATCAAATATATTTTTTATAAATAAGTTACATAAGATAATAAAAAAGTTAATATGATTTTTTTTAATCATCTAATAAATTATATGTGTTATAATAATTTAAAATAAATGTTAGATGGGATATGTAGAATATATATATATTCCTCCACATTCTAATACTTAATTTAGAAAATCAAATATTATCCATATTGACATTTTTATCTGGTTAATACAGAAATGTTTTGTTAAATTCGAAATAGATTAAAAAATACTCAAAGAAAGAATACTGGCAAGAATCACGACACATGTATATTTCTAGGAGCGAGAATTATGACATGTACATCTTGAATTGGTGGAAATATCAATAATATATAAATCCTAATTTCAGTTGGAAAGATTGAATTTACTTTCTTCAGATAAATTATTTATCAACAAAATAGATTTCTATAACGTGATTCAGTTTAAATCATTTATTTTGAAAAATAAATTATAATGATCACACACACATATATATATATATATAGATGTCTATATACAAAAGTAAAACAGTTAACTAAAATAAAAAAAAAAAATTAAAATATTTATTTGTAAACGGGGATTTTTTTTAAATCCATTAAGATGAAATTAAGGCTGATTTTTTTTTTTCATATTTCATTGGGAACATACAATGATTGGTATAGAAGAAAAAAAAAGTACAAGAGAAAAGCAGAAAAAGTAGAAGAGAGAAAAATAATTAACGCCGTATAAATTTAACGGAAGAAATTTTATTGATATAAATTTTATTAAGTTATTAAGTAAGGACGTAATTGGCGCAACTTTTAAATGATTGACTAATTTGACATTTTTGAGCCTGAAAACAAAATAGGGTATTAAACCTTTTTGTTTAAAGATATGTGACGTGAAATGTCATGACTACATTCTATCCAATAAAAAATATAACATATGGATAAAAAAATCATCATTTTATTAGCTTTTCGTTCTAAAATTAAATACGTCGTAAATATCCTTAAATAATTCATACAAGATCATATGTTATTGAGATGTCTTGTGAAAAACTCTTTAAATTGTTGAATGTTCAAAATGATAATATCTGCGCTATGATTTTTTTTTAATATCATTTCCTTTTTTTTGTGTTTATTTCTTATTTTTTCTTATTTTTTAGATTTAATGTCTCAGTAGATTTTTATTTTTGTGCAAAATTTTAAATAGATTTTTAATTTGTTCGACGTCTTAATTAGATTCTTATTTTTATAAAATTAATCAATTAAAGTCTTGTCATCAAGACAATGTAGTTTTAATTTAAGTGACACTAAAAACGTACGTCAATTATATTTTTTTAATTAATTTTTGAATTAAAAATTAAATGTACATAATAGAAATATAATTTAATTAAAGACAAAGTTAGGAAATCAAATTAAATTAAACGCTGACATCCAGGAAGGTGAGTTTTAGGGTGGGAGAAAACAAGTAAGCAGTGGAAGTTCCTTTCAGCCGAAACTACACAACAAATGTATTCATGTGTAGCTGAGGCATTTGATTTCCATTCCAGTACTGTTCTCCATGCATTTTTTGTTGCAGTGAGTAATAACAGTTTGATCAATTTGTCATTT